GAACACATAGTGGCTACCATCAGGCTCTCGTTAAACAAGTATTCTATCATATTAGTATATAAGTATTGTATCAACTGTGTGGATAGTATCTCTGTAGCTTTATCGTTTGAAATATATTATGAGCAATTAGTACTGTATATAAACCAACAGGATGTCGAATTTCGGTGACAGAAATGTATTTGAAACAAGCTAAAGTATGTAGCGATATCATCCTTATGTAACGCAGAATGACGGGATAAATGGAAAATAAAATTATTACTTATTATTTATTTTATAAATTTTATGCAAATTATTAGGTTTAATATACAAGGATTTTTAGCTTCTGTGTTATTCTTAATGATTTAATTGGGTTTTTTTTTTCGAATCACTGAATAAATCTGAATTGGGGTCTCGGCTTCATGACAATCACAGTTATTAATATGGCAAAGGTAAAGGTACGAAACCTGAAGCAGGCAGGAGGGCCCGTCTCTCTTTCTTTAGCGTTTGGGCCAAAGTAATATTATCAGATAGAACTGAATTTATGATTTATATAATTTCTTCATTGTTTTCCTTTAAATAGATAGAATGAATAGTGAAGTATAACTGATTGTGGCTCGAGTTGAAGTGACTTTCGGCAAATATTGAATACAGATATAATGTGAAAACAAACGAATTAATATGTTTACAAACCCTGTCCTTGCTGAGCCAGTGCTACTTGGGTGTCAACTGCTTTTACGATTTTGGTCGATGAGCTTGCGACGTCAGCATTCCCCATATCAGTCGAGAGCAGATTGCTTACCGCCGAAAATACTGCTTCCGTTACCTAAACAAAAATTACTAATAATGATAATGTGTATAGTAATATCACATTTCATATATAAATGCAGATTTTAGGATATATACCGGTCGTCATATTCTAAGCTAGACGTCATAGTATATCTTTAGAGATTGTTGGCATTTGTTTTTTTTTTATTTATTTTTATCATGAAGTGTTTGACTTAACGCCTGACGTCAATGGCATTACCACCAAGCCTAACATGTTAATTACAATATTTTACAATGTTAATCGTAACTTTTTGTATTTACTTATTATATTAGTTTGTTAACTTGTACCTGGTTTAACCATTAAATATCAGATATTCCTAATTTTTACTTTCCATTTATTGTTTTGTTAACTTCGATGATTGGTCTACAGTCTGTGTCACTTAAATTGATTTTGTTATAAAAGCGTCAATATTTATAAATCTCTACAGAAAACTCAATCAACTAAAATATCCTCTGTTTTGTACCTCCAATGAAGTCGAACCAACGTTGACAATGTTATCCAACGTGTCAGCAATAGCGTTAAACATATTTTCAGATATTTCATCCACACCATCGGTCAGCAAAGTTAACTCATCGGCAACTTCCGTCACGTTGTCCATGGTTACAGTAGCCTACGTAAAGATTGATAAATTTAAATAAATAGGTTATATCTACGTCAATAAATTTAATTTATCATGCATTACATTCCTAGTTTGCTAATTTTTGTTAAAATGTTAGACAACCCAATTTTATAAATATTATTAGATTTATATAAATAACTATGCAAATTAAATTGCCTTAGTCAGAGGTAAGTTGACGTAAATTCTAAGAATAGTGTGGCGGGTTTATTCATTCCATCACAATTCATGAATAATTAGTTATAAATTATTACTGTGGTTAATTAATTGTTAATCCCAATGGATACGTTTCTCTAATTTGAATGAAAGAGAACATTTACGAACTACCGTATCATATAGCGCCACCTCGACACCAAAATCAGCAAATAATAAAAATCATTATCGGTAGTATTTTCCACAAGTATCGGAGAAATGTGTGGTAGCGTTTAATATGTTAGATTGTTCGTACTTAATCTTATAATTCCTTTTTTTTTTCTCAAAAACAAAATAGAATATACAATAATGATACTATTCGGAGGCGGAATAGTAATTCATTTATCCGAAAAATTTGACTAATTCAAGCCAAAATCCCTAGCACTTTTTTGGCCTATCGAGATTTTTGTAAACGATGATAGGACGGCACTAACCTCACTAAGGTTGACCAACTCCTCTTCTCGTTGTTCTGTTGTTTTTGATGTTGTCGTGATGCTTCGTAGGCAATCGTTAATAACAGGCGGCATCCACATTGCGTTACCATCATCGTCAGACCCACAGTACCGTGTGCCTTTAGGCATCCCGGCTGGCAAAAGAAATAAGAAACAATTCCCAATTGTTAAAGACGCATAGCTACATTATATCGAGCATGTCATAGTGTACCACCGTACCATGTGATTGATTATTGCCATTTTCAATTAAGAATAAATTATAAATGTGTTTTCCCCATAATCTGTGCTTATTTAAACTGAGACAAGTAGTCTCATCAGATTTAAACAAGAACAATTCACAATTGTTATAAGACAGGGCTACAGTATATCAAACACGCTATAGTTTACTAACGTATTTTAAATTCTATGATAAATGAAAAAATTAAAGTGTGAATTTGTTGTTGATATTCATTGTTGTTGACAAGACAATTGTTGATTGTATAATTACCTCGAGGAGTTCCTTCTGGACACATTTCCTGTGACGACCTCTCTTTATTTATTTCTACTCTTCGCCATGTTAAATTAGCATCTATACTGTATCTACACCCAACTGTGAGAATAATAATACGAGCACATAACAATCATTAATTTGCATAATCATTATTAATTTGCATAATTACTTAGTAATTATATAAAATAATTTCAAGCCACTGTTGATAAAGTTTAGTTTACATTAATATACCAAAATGAAATAATAAAAATAACAATAATAATAATAGTAATAATAAAAATAATAATAATAATAATAATAAATTGACCTAATTAGGCCATACCATATACTAGAAATGCTGTTGAATGGGTTACGTATAGGCCTACGTAATAATAATAATAATAATAACGTAGGCCTATATAAACAAGGAAATAATTTGGAAAAGAGAAATCGTGATCTCACAACATTTAACGTTAATTAAACATTTATACAGTAAAATATACCGATACACAACTGACAATGTTTGAACCGGAAGTAATAGTGGGCTAATTTCTGATTAACATTTCTGAATAAATAGACGAACACAGATAAACTTAACACAGTTTATTTATTGAAATCAAAATAGGAAGAAGTACATCGACAACTGTTTAGACAGAAAACAAGTGCCAAAGAATGTAAAACTTTTCAGCTGGTCATTCAGAAAGAGTAACGTAATCATCAACTTGCATCACTACCAGGAATTACCAACCTCTTAAATAATATCAAGTAATAAATTAAAACATTTGCCTAATAAGGTTATGAGAAATTCTCAACAATGTACGGTACTCTTTATTAGAGAAATACAGCATTTATGACACAAAACCATCTGCTCTGCTTGCTTAAAATATATGTGAATTTCGGAGGTATTGATAAAACATGTGAAACAACATTTTCAAGTTGACGACATTACAAAGGTGCATATAACACTGCAGTAATACTTAAGTGTTAGTTACTTGACTCTCATTATAATTAAACAAAATCAAAAATAGTTCAAATCAGTTAGGCCCTAAATATTGTACAGTTAAACAAATAAAAATAAATGTATTGATAAAACATATGAGACAACATTTTCCAGCTACCGACATTACACTATAT